GCACCACCAAAGCAGGTACCCAAAAAGTCGACTTTTTGGGTACCTCCCAGATTTACCATCGGACGTCAGCTCTTGCATGAACCCCGATCATTGCCCAAGAATTTAGACCCAACCCTTCACCACCAAAGCAGGTACCCCAAAAGTCGACTTTTTGGGTACCTCCCAGGTTTACCATCTGACGTCATCTCTTGCATGAACCCCGTAATGCTGAACCCTCGTCCCCATAAAGGATATCATGGCCCAAGAATTTAGACCCAACCCAGCACCACCAAAGCAGGTACCCAAAAAGACAAAGCCTAGAGCACTCCTAGGAAAATGCCAGAAAAGCCTTTGAAAATCTCATAAGCCAACAGAAAACGTGACAAAAAGCAGGTACCCAAAAAGTCGACTTTTTGGGTACCTCCCAGATGTACCATCGGACGTCATCGCTTCGCCGAGGACCGCTCGCAGGCCAAACTGCAAAAACAGAAAACGTGACAAAATCTACGAAAAAGCAAGGGCATTGGCCGGGACCATGCCGCGACCAGCCCGGGATTCGAGCCCAGGACCATTTTGGACCGTGCTTATTTTCCCGCGCGGGTCGAGAGGGTGCCCCAAGATGTAAATCAATTGGGATGGCAGAATCTTGGACAATTCCCGGGTCGCTCAGGTCGCTTTCAGGGCGGGATTTCGTGACTGCAACAAGGGTCCGGAGGGGTAGGGGAGGTAAGGTCTAGGTCTAAGGCTAAGGACTAGGTCTAAGGCTAAGGATAAGGCTAAGGCTTAAGGCTAAGGCTAACATCGACAGTCACGCCTCACCCCACGGTGTGGGGTCGGCGGATTTAGTTAAAGGAAATAGATATGCTTATCCAACACACGAGCCAACGACCATGGGGGGTGATGTGTGCCATTGGGTGGGTCTCCACCGTTCACTTCTTTGCGATGGCTGTGGGCGCGTGGGACGCATTGAACGAAGATCATCACGAAGACCAAACGTTGAGGGTGCATTTTGCTGTTGTTCTTTCTTCGATGGGTTGTTCTACTGGTATATAGATGGATTGAATCTTGCTAGTCCCTTTGCTTTTCTTTCTTGGCATTTCCATCTTTCGACGTGGTATTCCGATCTCTCACACATCCAACGGATGAAAAAGCACTTCCTGCTTCGTAAAAGCAGAATTGCAAGAACACATCCTTCTTAAAACTGCATTTTTCTCGAAATGGAATGAACCAAGACACTGAAGAGGCTTGACATCCCCAAACTGCAGACCCTTTTCCGGTCCCAAGGGCTCCTTCTCGAGAGCGAGAAGGAGACAAACATGTTTAAGATCGTTCTGGACTTGTGCGGACCCACGGCTACTGGCCAACTTAAGACCTGCGTCTTAAGCACTTTGATATATAGGAAGGCCATCTTTTCATTGTTCTTTCGACTATGGCTGTGGGTCCAAAGGTAGGGAGTCATAGATGCCGGCGTCCGTTCAGTGGAATGGTTCGAACATGTTCGAACATTTTGTGGTCGATCTCCGCCATCGACAGTGTCTTCAATATCTAGCTTCTATATATTGATCTGATCTTCTGATGGTTGCTGGCGGGAGCATAGGGCTTTGCAAAGCATTTAAGATAACAATCTGGTCTTCTGTCTGCCATTTAGCACTTGGCCATTGGCTTCCTTCATTTGAGCAGTTCATTTCAGGAGGTGAGCGAGCTCAAACGTGCCTATGCTGCCGGCAGCTCCACGGTGGCTGCGGCGCGGTGGGCGGCGCACACGCCGGCCGAGGAGAGGCGTGGAAGTCGGAGGAAGGGGTCGTTGGAGTGCAGGGCCTAACATGTGATAGTTAAGGTAGGACCTCTTGCTGGAACAAGAGGAAAAATGATGGGAAACATCTAAAAGAAAGACAGGTCTAAAGATATGTTTAAAAAGAAAGGAACAAAAAGATGACTTAGAAAGGTTGGTTAAAGTGCCTTTTAGAAAAGAAAGAAGGTCTTCAGGAAGTTCAAGACCCCAAGTCCTCCGAATCCGTATTCCTTTGGTGTTTCGAGGTTCGTTGTTTCGCACAACCCGTGCGAAAAAGCCTGTGTCCCTCGGAAAAAAAGAAGCAAGATTGCTAAATAACCTTGAAGGATGCATGTCCTACTGATCAAACGGAGCAACAATCAGTTCCTTCATACAAACATCATCACGAACCAAAAATGGACACTTCCAAATGCATCGCCCAAAGGCTTCGTTCTACATGCCACAACTTTGTTGCGTCAGGATGTCCTCTCACCGTGTGGAAGTTTGTGCTGTCTCCATGATCCTTAACATGCAGCTCCAGGTGCTCCATGGAGCTCAGTCGCTGAAGTCCCAGCTTTGGAAACCACGGCTTTGCTGCAGAACAGAGAGCACCCCAGAAAACACACCAAAAAGTTGGAATCATGGGTCGGAAGTTCGGAACGCCCTTTTTTGTTTGCTTTCCTTAAATCAATGGTCACCGCAAGGCCGCAAGGCCACCATGACAGCAAGCAGACCGTGGCAACAGTGGGGATTGAGGCAGAATCCTTCCCCCGCTCTTTCTGCGGCAAAATACACTGTCCACAAAGAAGCCTGTCCCTTTGGTGGTGATGGGTTGCTAAAGTATATAGAAGGTTCGAAAATCAGTCAATGTTCATTCTCACGACCAGTTTTCGGGGTTTTCACCCCTCACTTATTTCAACTGCCGTTTCCCAATCCGCACGCCTCCAGGCTCCAGGAGGCCTTGCGCTCCGGCGACCTCCAAGCCGTCCGCGCCGCCAGCGCAGGAACGGAACGGCGGCCCTGGCGGCGCTGGGTGGCCGCGGCGTATTACTTGAACAAGGACTGGAAGGTGGGTAGCCATACCTGCGCACCGAACTGGAACCGAGGGTTTTGGCCGGGCCCGAATCAGGTCAAACTACCGGGTTAGCCGCTTTTGGGGGGCCTTTTGGGTGGCGCGAACCGGTGGTGATATGTGGTGATCAGTGTTGACAATTTGGTGATCTATAGTGCACCGTATATGGTGTGGAAGGAAAGTCTTCTTCACAAGCTTGTGGTGGTTTAGGGGTGAATGTTAGCCTGTGGGGACGGAGGTGTCGCTGGGTTGCTGGATGTTGGTTTAACCGAGGTTCGTACGGTTGGCTTCGCGTGTTGGTTGGATCAATGGCCTTACTGCTTCATTAAACTCATTCAGACATCTTCATGTTCATAATTCTGTCCTGCCATGCCATGTTTTTCTCCTGCTTTATGTCCCATGATGGCTGAAAGGAGGGGGTACACATCCGGCAGATGGGCCCTAACCACCAATGGGTTGTCGAGAACCCTCGCCGTTCCGGGAGTTCCTAAGAACCATTTTGAGAAAAGGATGATGATGTTTTCAAAGAAAAAGAAGCCCCCGTCTCGGGACTTCTCGAGGTCCGCGTTCGTGTGGGCGATGAATGATACCAGGCGTTCTGGGCGTCGCCAGGCTTCCTTTGGTGGGCGGTTCATTGACATGGCGGATGGGAAGGAGTCGCAGACGGACCTGGGTTGGGCTATAGGGTTAATCTAGGAATCTAGGATTCATCCTATTCACTATAGACCGGAGTAGTATTCATCACAATCTAGTTGGATTCCAGTTGAGCCATATGCACAGTGAATATCATTGAATCAATGAATTGCTTGCAGTTCTTGCGGCCATTCAATGCTACATGGGATACATATTGAATGAATCCTTTTCCCACTCGCTTCGTCGAGAGGGACGTAGAGAGCTGCGACGTAAAGTACCCAAGTTGAAGAAGACACCAGGACATCCTAATCAATGTTTTCTTGAACGGCGGGTGAAGTACCTAAGACTCTCAGACCAATCACTCAGGCTCTTCGAAGAGATATTCCTCTTTCGAAGAAAGGACCTCTCCCAAGGTGAGACATCAGGAATTTACCGACCTCTTCACCTGCTGCGGAGCTTGACCACACACCAAACCATGAAGGGATGGCATACCAATATAATTAGTCGATATAGTGATATCACATGCCAGTGCATCCAGCAGTGAGAATGTCAGCTGATCCCATAGCTGACCGTCCAAACCACAAGTTCATCCTGCTTCACCCGGTTTTTCAGCAGAAAGCTCCTCCGGCGCCCGGGCCGCCGAGCCTCCCACCCTGCTCGCGGCATCCCCGCGGCATCCAGGAGCAGCGGCACCTGCCGGAGTTCAACACGTTGGTCGCCTTCGAGGTGCCCCACCTCCATGCCGTGGAGAAGGCGCGACAGTCGCTCGCGCGTCGCGCGACAGCGCGCGCCACTCGCGCGACGTTCCGCGCCTGGTGGGCTCGCTTTGGGGGGCGGCTCGCTCTCGCTCTTTATCGGACGGAACGTCAAGGGGGGAGCGTGTCTTTTGGAGCTGCGAGACGAGCGTGTGGAGCTCGTGTGCGGAAGCGGACAACACAGGACCAGGTGCAGCGGTCGCGACACGTGGGTGGCGAAAGATGGAGGGGGATGGTCGAAGATGGTCTAAGGGTGTAAGCGTCCATGTGTTGGAGAATGTTTTTTTGGACCAATTCAGCTGCAATTCATATGGTCGTAGGTGCTTTACACGAGCGGGTTGCCCCAAAACATTGACAGGCATCGAAGTTCCCACCTCTCGATGATGTGTTGTGGTGAGGCTTTAGCTGTAAGAAGCTCACACTGGGCATGAAAACCAAAGAAACAATCACTCGAAACACCTCCCAACCATTGGTCCCGAACCATATGACCCGAAGCAACTGAGTCCATTTCACACGGACTTTGATGAGCGGCGGATGTGGTGCTTGCAGATCTTGCACCTGTGGATGGAGAAGTTGTGGAAGCACACCACCTCATAGATTGCATTTTTTACATTGGTTGGTTGGTGAATACACCAATTCGTGTACAACGTATATTATGGTATATTATGGTATATACTAGGATACCCCCTCGATTACTCCCAAAGGGACATCATTGCACCACCAACAGAAGCATCTTCCGGATGGTGGCCGACCTTCACTAACGCTGTCAGGTGAAGAAGGGCCAGAAACGCTATTCCATCTTCGGCTGGTGGCTGGCCGCTGGGGTTTGGATCGTTAGGGGCCCGGCTCTGGTCTTGAAGTGTTGGAGTTCTACATGAACTCTGGCAGACTCCAAACCCCTGGGTCAATGGAGTCAGGCGGAAGACGACACAGGTCCATGGGTCCGGAGTGGTCGCTGCGGTCCATCGAACGACCAAGTCGCAGCGGGCCGAAGGACGTGCAGACCATCGTTGAGCGTGGGCAGATTCACAGGCCCCCAAAATCAACCGTGGTCCTTTTGCGGAACCAGAAGTCGAGAGGCCATCGCTACTATAGTAGCAAGAAGTCTGGTGGTCCTCCCTTTCGGGCTGAGGCTGTTTCGGCCAAGCAAAAACGTTCAGCGCTGGTACCGAAGGCCACACGGTCGATGAGGCCTACCCGAACCAACATTCCACTCTTCCAGCACTGGACAGGTTTGGTGAAAGAGACAAAGGAAGGTGCGGTACTTTTCTGCATCTTTCTGTCAAACATCTGACTAAGACCATCTAAGACCCTTCAGACTGCTGGCTTCTCTCTATGATCCTCTATATATCTCTGAAAAAGGAAAGCGTCACGGGCACCTCAGTCCCCAAACAGGTCGAAGACGCGCCGAAGCGCCCCGCAGCACTAAAGCGCCCCGCGGCGATGAAGCGCCCCGCGGCGGCGGCGAAGAGGCCGAAGAAGGGACGGTGACGGTGGCGGACGAAAAAGGGCGGTGCGAAAACTCGCGTTTTCGCCGCGTGAGGATTGGACGAGAAGAGGAACTTCCAGAATTCCGTGGCTTTTCAATCATTTGGAATCGTTGGGTTTAGTGATGAATCCTGATTTTGGGGACTCTGATTTTTGGGATCTCTGGATATGAGGAGGTTGAATGATTTGGGGACAAGGGAATATTGCTGGCGCTGACTATAGCCATTGGCTGTTGTCTCGTCGGACTTGGAGCTGAGCTGAAGACGATTCAAAAAGAGAGTTCATGGAAGGTCCATTCAACTGGTCAAGAACGTGCTGAAGGAACGAGCCCGTCAATCTGTCAAAGTCAGTCAAACAGGCCACCACTGAATGAATGGCACATTCCTTGACTCGAAAGATGCTGGGTGTCTGTTTTCCAGTAGTGATCCTTTCTCCATTTACTCTCAAACATGCAAGCCATTGACCATAGCTTTCCTTGACCCTTTTTCTGAAAAGTCCTCTATCCATCCCAAAACAGCATGGGACCATGGATTCCAAAGGTACACGGAAGAACGACCACCCACCTCGGCCATGTTGCATGGCCCGGACGGCCGCCGCGGCGGACGCGGCGGCGGCGGCGCGGCGGCGGTGGCTGCGGCACTTGGAATCCTCGACGCCCACGGAGCTTGTGGAGGCGGTGAGAGAGGAGCTCCGCGGGTCGGTGCGGGTGTTCCTTTTGGGGGATTGAAGATGAACGAGGAACAAGAAGCTACTAGTAGCATCCAGTAGCTAATTTGCTACCTAGTAGCGATGGCCTCCACCTAGAAACGTCCTTGCTACTAGTAACAAGATGAAATTGTATAATAATTTGGGTACGGACTAGCATTCCGTGCATGTCGGCATCCCCTTTTGGTCACACCACCAAGAATTGTTACTCCAAGTGGGGATCATCCGCAATGATAATGCCCATGTATACAAACATAGGTCCAGCGGAGGATGCGCTTTGGACAGTGACGAGTTCTCTACATGACCTTGTGGAACCTCGAACCAGGGGTGTAAGTTTACCGAACATTCGCCAGATTCATGTCGAGGACAAAGCAATGGCCGACCTTGATTCACCACATCAAACATCAAACATCCCAAATGAATTACAGCTACACCTGTCAACACCTCCCCACCCAAAAAACAAAGGACTCTGTTTGTGTCATACATACCCCTTTCCCACGTCACGCCGTACGCGGGTTTCCCACGCGTGCTGCGGAGCGCGGAGGAGCTCCGACAGGGACGCCTCGAGGGTTGGCGGAACTCCTTGTGGACGCCTCTGTTGGAGCGTTGCGTGGGGACCGAACCGCACTCCACATGGAACCGTTACGCGCTGGACGCATCCCACGGCTGGGCGAAGGCTGCAGGCTACGTCTAAGACGGAGATGGCAGAGAGTGGGGGGAGGAGCATTTGGCCAAGAGGAGCTATGCCCAGATGTGCCGACATTGTTTGAAAAGATGTGGTCCGTTTGTGAAAAAGGGGGGAATGCAAGCTACAAAGACTACTGTTCGCTCTGTTGGTGGGTTTTGCTTACCATATAATAGAGATGCTCAAAGAAACCTTTTCTATCTTTGTGGTCACAGTTGGTCAATAGAGCGGTGGCACCTTGTAGAGGAAGAAGGTCCTTTAGTCCTCCGTGAGTCACAAGGATTGTCCTTGACTACATTGATATAGCCTTTGTTCCGAAAGCGAAAACCTGTGAAAGCCCCCACCCTTCCAGAATCTCTACCAGATGCTGTTTCCCCAGTCCTTGGCATAGTCCACGTCCCCAGTCCTTCTTTCGAGTCCACGCCGTTCCCCGGCGCCACGCCGCGTGCGTTGGCGCATCTCCCGACTCAGAGCTGCTGGCGTTGGCGCGGCAACATGGCGCCATCCCCAGCAGCTACATGCTGAACCTCGCGCTGCGCGCAGCGGCACTAGGCACCGGTGTGCGGGTTGGGTGCCGCAACCCGTCGGGTGTGCCACAACCAGCGACATGGTTCCTGAGGCGTAGCGATGTTTGTAGAACGGTACCTTGTGGTAGGTGGGTGCTTTCCCTTTCTTGATGCTATTGTGATCGTTACACTTGTTATGGCTTGGTTCAGTTAAAGTCTGTCAAAGGTGCGGTGGCAAGCCTTTGGGTTTGTAAGAAGGGCTGGTTGGAAAGAACCTACCCTTCCAATAGTTGGGGAATCTCAGACACCTCAGACACCTCAGACAGCTGCCTGGCTGCCTGGCGGTGCTGAAGCTGGTGCATCACTTGATTCGTTGGATCAGTTATTCCGAATTTGCTTGATCAGAAGTAGAATAAGACCTTCTGGAGTGTTTTGGGTTCCGAAGTTGGTTCAGTGTGTGGAGGCTGGTTCAGGCAGCGATGTCTTTGCACGTAAACAACTTCCATACAGTCCCTCGCAGAACAATGAATGCCATTTGGGATGGTCCGAGCCACTCCCTTTGTTTTGAGCATACAGGTTCTAGTCAGAGACATGCATGCTGATGTCCTGCTGACAGTTGTCCTTTTTTCCAGGATTCTCAGTATTTACGCCTCAGGTGGGGGCAGGGTCCAAACGAACCTCAGTCCAAATCGCAAAGCTACCACCGGCTGCACACGCGCAAGGAGCTGCATGGCAAGTGGCGGTCGACATGTTGGCGGAGGCATGAGAGCGCAGCAAGAGTGTGTTGAAAGGGCTGTGTATCCTGACCGTACATTGAACCCTGAAACCACAGGTCAGTTTGCCATAATGCATGGAGTGTCCTGACGTATACTTAAGCCTTCCATCTCTCGAGTTCACCACGACCACCTTGAGGGGCACTTGGGAGCGTTTGAGCATCGGGTCCTTCGCAGTCATCCCCGCGAGCTGCGATGAGTCGGTTCAGTCGGTCAGTTTGCCAATCGGTTCAGTCGATGCATTCGCCGTGTGGAGTCATGTGCACAGACCGGACTCACACGACTCACCACACGACTCGGTCACGACTCAGCTCTTTTGCTGCAGCTAAACCCTGATTACGGCATGCATAATCCCGTGTGAACGACGAGGGGATGAAATGTGAAGCGCGAATGTGAAAAGAATCCCTTGAAAATCACTTCAGTTGTTCCATGTGGACCTGATTTGACTGCAGAGTTTGTTGTCCCGCCAGGGCCAAAACATATCCCACAAGAACTTGAGCAAGATAGCATGACACGCTCTGAAATCAGACTCTCCACTATGGAGTCGTACACTACTCGTGACCGTCCTCAGGTGTATTGTGGGACCCTCAGCAGCCTTAGCGCTTTTGGTTTACAAGGGATTGCTATAGTAATGCTTAACTTATGAATCAGGTTAATCTCTTCCTGCAGGGCTGTCACAGTCTGTTACGGTCTGTTCGTGAAAATTGAAGGACAGGAGCTGAAACCTCTGCAGCTCTCGGCTCTTCGTTGATGCTCTCTGCTCGGAAAGGCCATGGGCCATCACCATCCACTGGGACGGACATTGATCTCCCATGTGCCGTAAGACTTGGTGCACCAGCCTGGTAGGACCCCAGCAAGCTACGTGGATCACCTGCAGGTCACCATGTTTCGATGTTTTTTTTGGGGGCGAAGAATGGGGGGACACCCGGTGTTGAGCTCGGTGACTGGATGGATGTTCGGCAAGAAGTCGAGCTCGGTTCCAGTCGGCCGGAGTGAACACGATGGAGCAGTGGGGGGCTGCTGCATCCAGAGTGGGGCGCCCCACCGATCCGACCTGTGCGTGGGTCAACACCTGGGAGACTGGTGTCCATCTTGTGGAGTTTTGGTTGGGAACCGGGTGGTCAGTGTGGTCCCACAACTAAGGCGTTTGCTTGTTAGCCCAAACTGGAGCTGCGGTCTCGGCATCCGATCCACCAGCGAAGGCTGAAAAGCCTCGAGAAAGACAGGGGGCCGTTCATGACAGGGCCCACATGAACGGACCTTGGGCCCTGAACGAGTCCCATCCCAACTCCGTTTCAGATCGAAGTTCCGCGGTGGAGTCCACCGTGTTGGACCCTGAAGGGTCATGTCATAGATAGCGGCGTCCAAACGAAAGGATCAGGAAAAACGCCGAAGATGGAAAGCTCCAAAAAGTCCTCCAAGTGCCAAGTAGTGGATGAGAGGAGAGGTTCTTTTCTCCCTTTCCAGCCCTCGCTGGCCCGGGCGGTTTCGGACCTCCGGCGTCACAACCTTTGCGCGAAACTTACTGGATCGTTTGATGATTGGCGTCATGGAGGGAAGGGCAGACATCTACCCATGTCACAAGCCCCACAAAAACCATCCATGATGTCCTTCCCATTGGCATGTAAATATAGGGACAGATTGTAGCTATGCACTCCTTGGGAATCCTGGTTCCATGAGAGTCCATCGACCTCCACGATCGTTGACAGCGTGGAAAGACGACACTCTGTCAAGCAGACTTAAGTGTGAGTGCTGTCATATTTGTTACTTTGTTTGATGTGTTGCAATCCATGGGTGACACAGCGACAGCAGCACCAAGGTCGGCAACTTTGCTCTCATGTATGTGCTCTCGAGTGCGGAAGTTTTTGCCGGGTTTGATCGAGGGTTCTTGCTTCGCTCCGTTTGCCTCAACCTGGAAGGATGTTGCAAAAGTGTTGCGAAGATGAGGGTTGTGTAGAATGGACCATTCACACGGCCACGCAGCGTCCAAGTTGGTCTAACTACATGCAGCTACTGGCAGTGACGGGTACTGTTTGTGAGCAGCTTTCACTTCGACAGTGGGACACCTCCATGCGCGCGCTGTTCGCTAGCCACGACGTAGGACAGGCAGCAAGGCAGCGCGGCAGATAGCTCCGCGGTGTAGATCGAGCAGGACGGCAGACAGGGCCCTCTGCCAGGCCACCTTCGCCCCCGGGCGCCATGCAGCACGCTCCCAAGAGGCCAATGTGATCTCCTTCAACACCACTGCAAAGGCCAGGCCGAAGGAGGTGGTCCATCACTGGTATTTCTTGGGGTGTAAGGGTGTTAAAGGAAGACGACACTGGTTCAGTTGTTGGTTGAACGGTCTATTTCTGGTCCTGCTCTATGGAGTCGAACTGGGGCCTCCCTATATCCCAACATTCTACGCCCATGTGTAAGCTCTGGCGTCTTGGAGTTTGTGCCGCTTTGTGGGATTCCAGCAGTTCTTTAGTAAAATCCTGCTCCACGCTGCCATGGGGACGGCCTTCAAGTCTCGGGCTTGGAAGACCCAAGTGAGCCACTCATGACAGCGACCCATTTCGGAAGGCAATGATGGGAAATAGAGGCAACTCCCTCTTTTTCACCCGAGGGACCGGTGGATTTTCCTCTTGGTTTTGGGTGACGTCCAAACCAAACCATCAAGCGCCAAAACCAAAAAAACTCAAATTTCAAGTCATGTGTGAAGCTGTTTGATGTGTGTTGGTCGCACTGTGTTTACCTCCATTGGTTTTTGTTTCTGTTTGACATCAATGCGCTGTTTCCAAACAAATTGCGACTCGTGGTTGGATTTGGAAAGTGCTAAATGCTTTCGTCATGTCCTCCCAAAACACCCGTCCTTCAAGGCCTTGGCCACTGCCAAGCAATGGGCCCAATGCTTGGCTCTGCTAGGCACGAAACGTTAAAAAACTGTCAGTTCAGCCCAGTGATTGGACGGTTGTTGGGAAGGTGTTTGATCCATACCAGGACAATTAAAGGTTTTTTTCCGGACTCAAGTTGCCTTTGGTGTTGTGATATGGATTTGGAAGCAGTTGCATGCCGTTTTGGGGAACCCTCTATTGGGGATGGTGGTTAATACCCAAAGACATTTGTTCACCACTTATGGAAGCAGGTTCAGAAGTATGGGAGGTAACTCCCATCAACAAGTAGGAGGGGTCCGCCAGTTTTGCAACATGATGCAATATGGTTCACCTGACTTCAAAGGAAGGAACAAAAGAGTCTAATTGTATAAGGGTCTAGATTCGTCCATAGATTCCATGCGCAAGTTAAACCCAAGACATCCATCTTCACCGCAACCTGGCTATTGCTCCGAGAATAATCCCCAGAAAGCCGCAGATTCGTTTTTGATCCTTCTACCTGTGGGTTTGGATGGTAGCCTGATGTTTCGCCATCCCAGCAAAGCTTCATTGCTGCCCCAAAAATACGACGTACATCCCATATCTTTTTGATTCCTTGCTCAGGCGCCCAGCGAGACGCGCAGATTCCGATGGACATCGTCTCCTTCAATACTCTTCAACACGCCTTGGCAGGTCACCTGATGTCGTCGCGGCGTTGTTTCGGGGTTGTCTTCACTGTGGCACTGGTGATCCTTCCAAGTGCCCCCACACACAGGGTGATCCTTCCAAGTCTAAGTGCTCAAAGAGCAGGGGCACCTGCCTGCGTCTTGTTCCGGTGCTTTTGGAAGGGACCATGGCTTGGAAGAATGCCACAAAACTGGAAGATCCCAAACAGGGGATGGCCTTCGGTGCTCTTCACCGAAAACGCTCGGCGCTCTTCGGATCCTCGGTCTACGGACTCGGCGGGTGGTCGGGGCTTGGGACGTCTCGAGACGAACCGTTCGTTCCGGAGCTCACCTCTCAAGACGCCGCGTGGCGTGTGACTTCTCCTAATAAGGCGCCCTAGCTCAATTTCTGGCAGTCCCACAACCCGTTCCACTGCTTGCTCCGGATTCACTACAGGCGGTAGCTGTTGGCAGCTGGCCTTGTCCTCGCTCCACGCCGCGCAACGGTGCCAGCTTCGCTGCGACGACGTGCCTCGGGCCTTCACTGCGACGGGCTTGTTCTTCTCCAAAGCTGGAAGAGGTTCGTGAAACATCATGAAACACGACTCGATCCAAAGACCTCGATTTGCTCACATCATCCATCATCACTCTCTTCATCTCTCTTCCATTATATCCTCTGAGTCTGAGGCCAGCTACAGTGCCACCATCGTGGCCTGCGGCCGTTCCAGCCGTTTGTGGCATGTGCTGCAGTTAGCGCGGCAATCGCGGGAGCTCTCAAGCAACTTGGATATCCAACGGGCAGAGGAGTACTGGAGTTTCACGTGTTTGTTTCAGGTTGGTTCCGAATCTGCAGGTGAAACCTGGAAGAAGCAGCCGACAGAAGCCTGTCATAGGCGAATTGGTCCTGTCACAGCGTTCTTCGTTGTATCCCAAGTCAGTTTTTTCACACTTCGAACTTGGATTTTCAGTTAACGCAATTGTCTCGTTGGGA